ATTCTTCCTGACAACAGGTTTTACAGCAGTAATTACCATTAACTTGTGGTTTCAAGGGACAAAAATTCTCAGCACAGTATTTTTCACACATATGACAGATTTGCTACAACATGTTGGCTGAGCTGCAAATAGAAGAGAAACTCTAAGACATCAGAATTACTTTAAATACAAGATCTGTTTATGGTATGTGCAGTGCAAAGTAAAGTGAAAAGGGCTGATATCCATGCTGGAGAGAAGCAAGTGCCTATTTCAGGCAGCACACAAATCCCTAAAAAGCAAGGGAAATTACCCTCCAGTATCTCCACAAAGTATCTCTACTGTGATCCAAAGTGTAAAGCGTATCTTTATAATCTAGAGCAGACAAAAACAATGACTACACCTGCCAGGAGAGGGCCCTAACCACTGGTTCTAAATTGCTGCTGTGAGGCAAAGAATTTGAGGGTTACCAAAAGAAAGAAGGGTTAAAAATACCCCCAACATCTCACCTGGATTAAGACAGTTTACCAGGGAATGGAGGGATGTTGTCAGGGTACATACCTGGGGATTGAAGCCATTCAGGTTAAGAAGGAAATTGATCTAAATCTCTTATTTCCTGAATAAATACTCATCTAGGTCAGATGAGTTTAATGCAAAACCTGTGAGCCATTGATGAAAAAAATCCCCATTTTCTTCCCAAATCCCTGGGCTGCACATTGTAGCAAATGTAAAGCCAGTGCAGCAGAAGCCTTTTACCACGTAGATGCAAGTACTTGGGAAATGACCGGCTGCTTGTTAATGTCTGAACAGTCAGCAACTTCAGATCCCTTGAACAGCTTACGTGCTGCTGGCAAGTCGACATTTCTGAAATGCTTCATCTTATGGTCACCAAAACAGCATGGATATTTATTAATATTTGCTGTGGCAGTTGCTTGGTGCCAGGAGATCAAACCAAGTCTAACATGCACCCCCTACACTAACCTATACCATAAAAGATGGTATTTATGGCCTTCCTTGAATGTCAATGACATCAACTTTCAGAAGAAAATTCCTGGCTATTGATGTTAAGGAAAAAGAACCTAAAGTCAGTCACTAGATGCGTGGATAAGGACACTGCTCAAGGCACATCATTCCCTTCACTGCTGGAGCTCTCTGCTTAGCACGCAGTTTGCTTGAATGGCTCTTCTAAAGCAGATGGTGTTACTACACACCATATGGTGCACTCAGCATTCCAACTACACAGCAAGTTTTAATATTCAGAACCTTAGCCCTTAACAGACTGAAATCCCATGTGAATCCAGGACAGGCAGCTGGGCAGACCTGGGAGAAATTAAGACTTGATGAACTTTTCTACCTTTATTTCCACAGTTGCAGAAATAAATCCCATTCTTATGATGTTTCCTGTATCTTGATCAAATTCAGTAGTCCCCTTAGTCTGAGTCATCTCTGCCACCTCTTTCCTGTGGCACCTCACCCTCTAGCTAATGACATAACTCCAGCATCAGCTCAAGGGACTGACAGTCTGCAAGATAAAATCAAGCAATGTGAAGACGAGACAGAGGCACATGTGCACACTCCAGAAGGAAAGCTGGAGTAGGCAGTTTGTGTGTAGGGAAGAAAGATAAACAGAAACTGGCATTTTCTGAGTTGCTCTTTGCATGCAATTTGGCTTGGGATTTCCTTTTTTAAAGTGGTAATTATATAAACACAGCAAATGTTTCTTTTTGTATGCTAGAATATAAATCAAATTCTAACACTTACTGTGACAGGATCAAGTCCAGAAAAGTAGTAAGCATAAAGAAAGACAAATCAGAATTATAATTAACAGAATTGCTCTATTTCAAGTAGAGGTGTTTTCTCTAATAACTCTTCCCTCAAATATTTTCTAGCAGGATCCAGACATGAAGCTCAGGACATCCCCCCTGGAAGGGCAGCCTGGTTTGTATTGCTATCAGCCTCAAGTGCAGCAGATGTATTGCCCCTCACATCCTTTCCATCAGGTCAGTGCTATATAGAGACCAAATCCCGTATTTCTAGCACTATAATGATACAGTGGTTATGGTAGTAATACAAACAGACAGGTGAAACAATGCCTGCTGAAGTGGTGTTTGTGGGGCCATGTTTATATACATACATTCTTTTTATGACAATGAGATCTTAAAAGAGCCACATCTAAATTTTTTTTAAAATATTAATGCATGGGCAGAAGAAAAAAGGGAAAAAAAGCTTTGTCAAACTGAATCTCAGTTCTGCTTATTTATGTTTTTACCATCATGCTCAAGAAAATTCACTTTGAAAGCAGATAAATTATCAACATAAGTGTTGGCATTTCAGGATCCCAGGGAATTAACTGTGCTTTAACTTCAGAATAAAAAATTAAATATACATGGCTGCATACTGAAAATTCAGATAAGGATAGAAACCCACTCTTAAAACAAGACATTAACAGCAAGAGAATGTTCATTCTCCTTGCGCTTGACAGCATACACATCTCTTTTGCAATCTTTTGACTGTTACATCATCCCCTGTGAAAGATTATTCAGCGAAGCATAATTGACAATAATGCTGATGATGCATGAGAATGCACAATATTAGGGCTGTTCTTCTGTAACTATATTGTTAATACTAAAAATGCACAGCAGCAACTGACACCTTGTTCTTCAGTGTGTTTAGATGTCATTTGAATACAGGTCAGTTCCTATTTTCAAAGCAGTATATACACAGTATCTCTGGAAGATCATACATATATACCTTAATGCTTAATACATGTGATCCTAGTACCTATTTATAGATGTTAGTGAGTGTGATCTACTGAGCTTTGAAAACCTGGCATAGAGGGAGGGTGAGTGTCACAAAGTCATTCTCATGACTCTGAAATGAATTTAACTTATTTCCTCTAGATATAAATGGTGGTGCTGTTCAATGCATTGAAAACATTGCTTGAAAGTCCCTATTTAAAACAAACAACCTCCAAAACTTATTTAAAGTGAAATTAAGGCAATGAGGATTTTACAGCTACAGAGGCAGAAATCCATGTACAAAGCCAGCACAATCGCTATAGCTCCTAACATTTACAACTGAATTAAACTTACAGCAAATTCACATATATAAAATATTTGACCATAAAAGCTCACACTTGAGTTAGGACTCCTTTGATCCCAGTGGCTGATGACTGATACTGGAATCAACTGTACCATCTCATTCAACTTGCTCAAGAAGTATAAAACCTGTGACTAACTGAGCAGTGATTTCAAACTGTGCAAAGCAAACAAAGAGCAGGTTACTGTATGATATTTCACTGGGATTAATTCATATGGTGCTACTAGTCTGAAACATTGAAATAATAATCATACCATTCATCATCAGGATTTAGTCCCTTATGAGGAAAAAGAAAGGTTATTTCTGGCATGATTTTCTTATAGAGGAAACTTAAGTAACATCTGAAAACAGATGCTGGATGACCATAAAGAATGAGAATAGATAAATGTTGGGATTTTATCAGCACTGATAAAACTAAATCATCTGTCACAGGTGACTGGTTAGGAATTTTAGTTGTTTGGTAAAACATGACTAAGGAAGAATGAAAGAATTCCATTCTCAGCAATGGATTTTCATATTTAAGTGTGTATTTTTCATACTTATAAATCCCCCACCTGTCTACTAAAATCTAAAGGAAGATGTTTCATTATTACAGTAGATAACCCCTCAGATACAGAATGGAATAAAATAGGGACTGACTATTAACCACTAGGAGAGCTTTTATGGCCTTTCCGAACTTCTAGTGTCTGGGACCAGTTAAACTGATCCACAGGCTGGTGTGACAAAGCTCAATGAGCACCCTCAAGTACCAGCTTCTCAACTCAGGTTCCTTGTCAAGTGTACAGCTGCTAAACAGATGTGAGAAGGCGTGAATAACAGAGCAGCAGTTCTCCTACACTGAGTCAGGAAGTATGGCTACAGAATCATCTCACTCCTGGCTTTTTCTTTTACCTACCACTCTGGAATTCCACCAGCCAGAATTCACCAAACCTCCTTTTTTCCCCCCTATAATGTGGCAAAAAGGTAACTATCTTCTCAGTTTTATCAATACCTTCATAACTAGAGTTTCTTGTTAGCCTAAAACTCACTAGAAATGATAAAAGGTAATAAAACAGGCTAAGAAAGGTGATATTACACTATCATTCTAACTTACAAATTGGATTATTTCCTTATTGCTATTTTAGAAGGGTCCCAGATGAAGGATTATCCTGCTACAAATATAAACTAGCTCCCCACAGGGACTGCAGTACAGACATTGTGTATGTGCCACAGTACCACACATCTCACAGTATAAATGTCAGCTTGCTTTAGCAGAAACTCCAGTCAGCTGCTAACTCAGTGAGTATTTCTAATTTCTTTATTCATCCTGTGGCAGACACCCTTCCTCTGTCACTGCTGAGTTCACATCAGAACTATTACTACACACTGGCATTAACCACATTCAAAAAACCTACAAAATTAAAGCTGAAATACACCTTCTGGGAGCTGCCAGGCAAGATACAACAAGCACCAAGAGGACAGGCTTCCATCCACCTGCAGGCTGGCACTGTGACAGATCTCTTACATGCAGCAGGTTTCTGTTAGACTTTTCAATATTTGTGCTTCTTAATGTTATTATAGTAAAAGTATGGCAACATGTTCTACTACTCAGAGGAAAGAAACAATAGGCATAAGCAGCCAGCATCATAACAGGTAGAATTGCTGTCTGTGTGCCATAATCAGATACTGGAAAATGAAAGAACATGTGATACAAGACAGAGGAGAAGTGGAATAACATCTTTTGCATGAAGCAGCTCTATTATTAATACTTTACATTTAAAATTTGAATGGAGCAGTGCAATTAAAATCACTAGGAAGTTACACTCCAGAGAACGGGCCCTTTAGCCTGGAGTGAAGGATGTGCAAACTACGCCTCATTTTTCATTAGAGGGATGAGAGACATCAACTCTTTGGTTAATTTTGTCCAAATGATAAAATGGCCTCACCTTCCCCTTTGCTGGACACAACACAGATGATGATTCATAAGAAAAATTACTTCTTGTTGACCTGAAAGAAGTAGCAGACACTTACTGAAGTCACTTACCCACCCACCATAAAACATGGACACCTTTCATGCCAGTTGTGCGACTGTAAAACCAGCTCAAGCCTGTCATACCAGACCATTCCCCAGCCTCTGTTCCCTCAAAAAGGAGTAATGAAACCAATAAAACAGAAATAATCCTTAAAACACCCAGTTCTTGCCCTTGCTGATGACATCACAACCAGCCCCATCATTGTATTCTTTCCTTTCAAAGATCCACCAAGACTAATAAAATCAAAATCATTGTATGAATTACCCAGTTTTCCACTCTGGTGCAAAACCCACACACTATGCAACAAACCAGGCAGCACAGAACTGCACATGGAAAATAGTTCAAGGTTAATGTGGAGACTGCCGTTTTGCCCAGGATTTAGTTTAACAAGGCAGGACACGATGAATGAGTATGTACATCTCATTTCTTTCACCCTGTTTACCATAGCAAACAAATTAGTGTATTCAGTATGTTTGTCCACATTCCATTTCAGGCAGTTCAGTGTTAGATAAAAGTAAACAGACAAAAAACTCAAGCAACAACAGTAAAATTACTTAGAAACTGAAATAAATTATTCAGAATCCAGAATAAATACATTAACTATGAACATTTTGCAAGCACATGATAAACTCTCACATGCATTTTAAGGCAACAAAGACCAAGAGCGACAGAAGTTATCGGTCTGAAAATAGGAATGACAGTAAGAAACTAAGGAGACGTATAAATTACCAAGGAGATTTTCCCAACCAGTCTCGAAAGCTACATTATAATCTTTCAAAGGAGCCATAAAACTCTCATGACACATGACTTCTAGATCTAAGCAGTAAAACACTGGAACAGGGCTCAGCAGCCTTTGAGTACTAGGGAAGGCATGCAGGTAGTTTTTTAATAGCATATGACATGACTCCTAATTTTGGCCATGCCCTAGCCCTGGCATCTGCAAAGATTCATCTGTAAGAGGCAGAAATTCCTCTCACACTGAGCTCTGAGTTCAGTGGGAGCCTTTGCCTCTTGGAGAGCAAAATTGATGGTATCTCACCTCAGCAGCAGAGCAATTCTTTGTTCTTGAAAGTTGCTCACTTGCAGGTTTAAACTGTAATTTGGAAAAGAAAAAGGTGACCAACTGCTGTGTTAAAAAAGTGAGAACAAACCTACAGAAACTCTGATGCAATCCAGGCTATCTGTGCGTGTTATCTCCCCTCTTTCACCATTTTTTTTGCATGGGCATATCTCTATCCTGGTGACTGCATGATAGGCCAGTGATTTCTTTAGTGTGTCTTGAGAGTGGGACAGGCTTAGAGATCTCCTGAGGAGACAGCTTAGCACTTCAGTCTTGAGGAGCATTCTGCTGCTTGTCCCAAGGGATAGGGTGAGGGTAGCACAAATGCTATCTGATTTCAGGTATCCTGGATAATCTTTTTAGCTTTCTGATATAGAAAAGGGGGGGGTTGAGGAAAGCTGCCTGAAGCCCTTAAACTCCCAGCCCCTTCCAGAAGCCTGTTTCTTGCCACTGACTATGACAGTAGCCTCACAGCCTCGCAAGGTAGGCAATATGAAAACCACCTCTGAGAAACACCTCATATGCCACTTGTCTGTCCCTTGGAATGACACTACTAACTTATTCTAGAATAGCATACCCACTTTGTATACACATCCACTACAGCTTTGGTGGTTGTTGTTTTGGGGTTTTTTACTTCTTCACCTGGTAACAGCAATTTGAACAGATGCTTTGGGATGCTGTTATGAATTTTCTGGAGACAATTACTAGGGTTCAGTTAGTCCCATTTTTCACAAGAACTCAGTAGCATAACAGGCAATAAGAAAGTACTTTTTTTACATCCTTCAATTTGGAACACACTAAACAGCATCTGGTAACAGTCAACGTATCAGTGAGCTCCTCCTCATCCATGCCCTGTTTCTTCTACTTTTTGGGTATTAACAAGTAATATTAATGTCTTCCATACCATGCTAGAAAGACTACATCTGGGTTGGCAAAACAGGTATGAAACATAGGCAGAAAGCAACATCCTCAGAGCTAGCTTAATAATGTTATTAAGAAATAAGTATTTTTGAAAGCTTGTTGAGAGGTCAAGTAACATTTCTTTTATTCTACCACCAGTATTCCTCGGGAGGCAGCTATCCTGTGACTTACATTACTTCTTCGCACTACCCCTACCAACGAATCGCTCCTCAAAGCAGTCAAGAATCCCAGCAGCCTCTGTTTCCCAAACCCATCTACTCCTACAGGTAATAACATACTTTCTCAGGTTCTAATGTTACAGGAAATACACTGTTTACCCATGGCCTATTTCCAGCATCATTTGCAACAACATGCTTATTCTTATTTGTCTTGCTCCCAGTGTGCTCTGTCCTGTTTGTATGAATCACAACATGTTCCAGACTCAGGGGCCAAGGCAGAGGGAAATGCAATGTTGTAAAGCTTGTGAACAGTTTTGATCACCCCACAACAGCTAGATGTTTCTCCAGTATAAAACCTTAGGTGCTGCAAATTTCATCAGCACAAGACTAATTACCTGTAGTTGTCTTCTCCAGGACCTGTATTAAATCTGATGTTTTTTCTCCAGTTATTATGGCAAAGAAATGCCTAAAAACCATATCAGATATGCCAGTCACCACACAGGTTTAGCCCCCAGAGAGCAGCTTAACACAGTAGACCAGACAATTGCATTTTAATTGTACCTTCTTTCACTGTCATTTTGACACTCTTCTTGGGGCCTTTATCATTCAAACACAGCCTTAAATAAAAACACATTAGTAGAATTTGAAGGCTGTGGACTTGATTCCAGTTTGTATTACTTTATTTTAAGCCCTGGCTGGACCTTCTATGTGTGCTTTCAGAATTACCTCCAGAAGTTAAGCAGTGTAAGGAGACCGATTGTAAACAACTGGGTGGAAACTTTGAGTATCATCAGTGTTCATGCTCAGGCAGTGCAAGTCACAGTAATTACATACATTGAAAAAACACTCATTTTCTGCTTCTGAGGAGCAGAATAAGCTAAATTTTTTTTCTTTCTCTCTCTGAAGCATCCTGATCTTCATGGCACTCAAAAACAGCAAGACAGGGAGTTTGCCAGTCAGTGAGATTTACAATTTCATGACGGAACACTTCCCTTACTTTAAGGTGAGTGCCAAGGGGATGGGGGGGAAGTCTCTCTCTCAGCTTACCTGGCAGCAGAGGGAATAAAGAGGGGAACTCGATCTATGAAAAGGGATCATTTCTTAGGTAGATTAATATCAAATCAATTACACACTATATACCTTCATGATCACAAACCACCCAGCATCTAAGGCCTAGGCAGAAACATGAACATGATATGTGGCAATATTTAACACAGAAAGATATTAAGAACTGTTCTGACTTTGAGTTTGTGCAGATAACAGTGGCTGTTCCTCACCAACAACTCACCAAAAGGATAAATACTTTTAAAAACATATCCATTCCCTCCTCTCTGATCTCAAATACAGGCAGAACTGGTCTTGTGGCTTCCTTTGCCACCAGTAGCACCTCCAGACTCATGTGGAAGCAGAGGCTCAAGGTTATCTGGCTCTGTTCTGGGCCTGGAATATCAGTCTTGGGCAACTTCATCACTTGCATACACTGTACAAAGAGAAGTATAATATGTGATAAATAGTATTAAGCTCATAATTACACTGTAATGTTGGTGAAGGTGAGGGTGTATGGTTTGCAGCAGTTACTATTGAAATTTAAATCCATGCTATAAGAGAATGGTTTCTTGCACTTAGACTGCAAGTGGAAAGAGATTAGTCAGGGCATGATCCAAGAGCAGAAGGATTACAGTGAACGTTTTAAAAAGAGCTGTAATAGAATCATCAACTGCTACCCAACACAGAGCTTTATTATTGCTGAGTCTTCAAAACCGTCTCACTAAAAAGTCCAGACCAGGTGACCTGCAACTGTTAGCAAGACCCAGAAATGAAAAATAAAGCAACAAGAGTCTGTTAAGCTTCCTACTATGAACAAACATGCAGCAATTCAACCAAATTTAAAGCAGCTACAGAAAGGCAATTGAAACATTTGTATTCAGAACACTAAGGATGACTAGAAATCAGTGTTCAGATACAAGTTTGCAATGGTTTTGGACACTAACTGAGGATAAATAATGCCCAGAAAAAATTAAACTCGAACAGGTCAGTAACCAGAGTAATAGAATACATGAGCTATCATGAAGGAAGAACTGTTAGGATCCTTTACACTTCTGCATTCCCAGATTTCCTCCCAAGGGAATCACCAGCTGCTCAACTGCTTGCTACAAGCAAGTGAAGGGAGGAAAAAAAATAAATAAATAAAATAAAAAAGAAAGAAACGTACCATCACAATTCAAGCAGTGTTCGGTCACACCATGACTGCTCGTAACCCACTGAAACAAACCTGAAACACTTCAAGTCACAGGGACACAACAGATTTTTAGGCTAAACACACAGAGAATTCAGCAATGACAGTAATCTGAACAGGGAAAGGAAGAGCAGCAGAATGGCATGTGACAAGAACATAGTAACCGTGAATTTCCTGTCATTTTCACAACAAGAATAGATTTAAATACTTGTATTTTGTCCCTAACAGAATAATAACTCTATATGCATTTATCACTAGCTGAAAAAAAATATTAATAATCCAAAGGAAAATAGTTTGAGGAGTATGGAAAAGGTGCTGGCCCCCAACATCTTGAAACTGGTATTTTGTGGAGTTCCGCTCCCCAGTATAATGCACAAATCATGGAATGCATTCCATCTGATCAATGTTTTCTGGAAAAATAACAGGAGTTTCAAGCAGAGAGGTGGGAATATTAAAAATAAGTTTTACAGATGTCCACATTTATTCAACAGACCAAACTGAAGTTAATTCTCCTTTGACTTGCAACACAATCCATTATAAAATTAACTAACCAGCAGGTTGCAAACCAAATGCTGCTGCTGCCAACATGCACAGAATTCCTCTGACACAAGACTGTGGCTCTGCAGGTGTCACCTTCCTTGTCCTGAAGTCATTCTGACACAGCAGAAACATTAGGGAGATACACAGCCTCTCCTCATCTGTATGTTGTGTGTAAATATTGTGTACTGTAGATACTGTGATATTTTGTGTGTAAACATGTACAAATAGGTGTGTTCACGTCTGCCTGTGTGTATACAGACGTGTGGATACACATGCTCAGCTTGACAGAAGGTTTATTTCTATCACAGCTTTAAATAACTGTTTTATACCTAAACTTTCACTTTCTTACTTATCAAAACTTGGTCTTTTGCTTAATTCATTTAAAAATTGATGAGAATGAGGTTACTGCTGCTATATGCATCATAGAAAAAGAATGATACAGGGGGTAATACTGGAAAGTTTTTTGTGACTGTCACTATTTGGTGACAGCTTTCTATTTGCATTTTACTTACAAATACAGTCTTCAGCAAGATAAAGGATTATAAAATCAGCAAAGAATATTTTGTTGTTGCTACCAGAACTCTCTAAACAGCAGGATACAACAGGGAGAGGGGAAGCAATTAAAGTTGGAGAGAAACAGAGTACAAGTGTACACAGAATCTTGCTGGGAGACATTAGATGATACAAGCCTAGTCAAATTAACTTGTATTCGCTGCCACAGCAAATTTAGTTTCTATGATGCAACAATCTCATTTCTAGTTGAAACAGAGCAATCCAACTCCTACGTCCTAAAAAAAACATCTACGCAGCTAAAGTCGAATTACTCTTTGATGTACCTCTCCCTTCTCTTGAGACCTAGATTTAAAGAGAAAGGGTTTTGCAAGATCACTGAACTCTTTAAACTTCAAGAGGCGGTCAGGATCAATGGGTCTGTGCAGTAATATTTTTTGCTTGTCATCCTTTTTGTCTTTGTAGTGATTAGTGAGTCTAACAGAAAGCTTTAATCTTGGTAATTGGAGTTATTGCAGTGGTCCAAGAGGTTAGGAAGGTCTGTGGTCTGATGAACTTAGAACAGCAAGTTGCAGTGTCCAACTCTACACAGCTTCATCCATGCTGTGCTGAGTACAGCAATAGCAAAACCAAGCCGTAGCCAGGAGATTCCAACTGTACAAGGGCAATGCAGGAGCCAGAGCTCAGTTCTTTAACAAATATTAACTTAAACTACTAACAGAGTTGTAACATGATCACGCTGCCAGAGTGTTCCTTCAGGGCCTACCTGGGTAAATGACTGGTTTTCACTGCTCAGCAATCCCAAGTTTAATGCAAGAACCTGCTCAGCTCTTGGCAGCAGTCTCCAGCAGAAATCCGTGTACTTTTTGCTCTTACGTTTCTAAAACTACCTCATAGTTTACACCCCCACACATTCTGAAAAGCTCTGAGAAACACATGCCACTCCCATCTTCCCTGGTGCTTAGCAGAAACACTAATTATCCTGTCTAGATACAGCCTCCTATGCAGGGCACAATCATGAATATTCTTTCAGGTCAGCTTCTTCAGTAAGCTAAACATGCATCTTACCTAGGAGCAACAGTTCTATTTACTTTTGGAACTGCCAGAAAGCAACTTGAATATGATCTGCAAAGGAGAAAAATTGATTCATCAGCTTTAATATTACCCTGTGGCAGAAAGAGTTTAAAAAGGGAGGTTTTGCCCCTTTTTTTTGTTTAAACAGAAATGCAGTATTCCACCTATGGGACCCTCTGACAGAATAGTGAAATGCTGACATCAGGTGGGCCAAAAGGGTAGAAATTGCGCCGCGATGAAGAGAAAGTAGCTTCTTTTTTAGTAAGCAACATGTATTTAACTTCCACTATTGATTAACTTTATTTAATGAGGAGAGCAAGTATTAAATTTGACCCTGAAATTCTTCAGTAAGGCTTTTAACACCTTAACCCACTAGATTTTGCATTCCTGATAAAAGCAGTATTTCTGTCAAAGCGTGCTCAAAAATGCAGGGTAGCATGTGAAAGCAAGAATGGACACAAGTCCATTTATAAAAGATGGTCTAGAAGAGATCTGCTACTCCAGGAAACATTTAGAGAAAGTATCCAAAAGCTGCTTTCTGTAAGTGAATGATCCCTATAAATAGGGCCTAAGAATGGAAAGGAAACTTAACATGCATAAAAGGGAAATTTTCATGTTTAACCTCTTTAAAAGTACTACGGAAAATCATTTTTATTTCTTGTGCTCTCTGGTCAACAACTGCAACAACCAATATTTTACATCCATGAATGTGAATTAATAGCGGCACACAAACAATGTCACCCACCTTTCAGAGAGCTGTTTGATTTTTTTTTTTTAGCTCTTATGACACACAGCTGAGGATTTTCTGGAAACAAGAAAAAGCATCCAAAACTGATTAAAACAAAACAAAAAGGCTTCACATACTCTAGACTCCTTGAAATCTGATGAGCTCTGAAGTCACTCTTGAGATTTCTCATCTCTGCAAATGCAGACCCTTTGGAAAGAATCATTTGACTGACACAGATAAAGCTACAATTCTGGGCTTTTAACTGGTCCTACAATGACAGGGGAGGTGTAGCTGGACAAGCAGTTGCATCTACTACAAGGAAGCTGGGTTTTTCAGGTTGATTCCTACCATTACATAGCAAGTCATTTTTCCCACTCCCTTTTTTTTTGAGCTTACAGTGCAGTGGCAATGAGCTAAGAGAGCTCTACTCGGATCTGCAACAAACAGCATCGTACAATACCTACCAAATGAAAAGCAAGGAAGTGACACATCAGGAATTTACTGTAGGAATCTTCTGATATGAATATGCGTACTAATTTACAAAGCCTTAATGTGATGGGCAGCATTTTCTGGCTGGATGACTAAGGAAACAGAAATGAGTGAGATCAAATAAACATACACCAGAAAAACTGAAACGCAATAAAAGCATACAGTGCTGTTTCTTCAAGATCAGCATTTCAGACTAGCAAACAAACAAGCATTTCCCATCAGAATCCGAGCATGACTGTTTTGCTGAGTATTTCCCTCTTCATTCCCTACAGCAATATTAATTATCAATGTTCTTCTACAAGCAATCAGGGAAAACAGAAATATTGTAAAGATTAATTTGTATAAACTGAGGGTTTGCACTAAGCTTTCTTTTCTTTCCATTCTTGCAGTTGAATGCAAACCCCTTCCTTAGAAAAAGGAGGGAATTTTGTTTCCCTCATCAATCAGAAACATCCTAACTAAAAACAGAGGAATCATTTTAATGAAGCTCACACGCACTGTTCAGCCTAAAGGACCTTCCAACTTCTACTACCAAGTTAAAAAAAAATGCAAAGCAAAAAGATGCAGCAATCAGATGTACAAACCTGTATCTCATCCACTGGGCTTTTGCTTAAACCATGTGGTTATGTAATTGGCTACACCTCCAGCAGCATGCCAAAATGCTTTTGAAGTCTGCCTGGACAACTCATTTGAATCCAAGTGGCACGCAGCCCTTCAACTAAGTGTTTGAAATATTTCTAGGTGTGCTAAAAGGGATTAAAAGATTTCCTGTTAGTTCACAGTTCTGGAATATAATTCTTTAACACATTTAATTCTTGTAATTTGCAAATTCAAACATACAGTAGCCCCTCTGACAAGGCCAACCTTTTGCTTAGAAGATCAGTTACTATGTTATCTGATTCCTCTTCCCACACCACACGACTGTAACATTTTTGTGGCTTCCTTCTATGGTACCAGTTTCATTTTGTAGAAAGTATACTCTAACCAGTCAAAATAGAGAAATATATTTGTATTTTTTCCTTGAAGTTCCATTCTTAGACTGGATTTGTTTTTCCAGACAGCTCCGGACGGCTGGAAGAATTCTGTACGTCACAACTTATCTTTGAACAAATGCTTTGAGAAAGTTGAAAACAAGTCAGGCAATTCTTCTCGGAAAGGCTGTTTGTGGGCTCTGAATCCAGCCAAAATCGATAAGATGCAGGAGGAGCTTCAGAAATGGAAGAGGAAAGACCCAGTTGCCGTAAGGAAGAGTATGGCAAAGCCAGGTCAGTAATATATTAGTGTATTTGTTCCCAAACAGTGTAACCCAGAACTTTTATTTGCAATAGACATCAAGCTCTATAAGAGAATTTAGACAGGATTTAGGAAAGCATTTAAGAACTTCCCTGGTTATAAACTGATTGGCAAAACAAAGAATTAAAATTAAAAGCAGAATTAGATAAGACCTGGTTTTGCAGGAATGCTTCCAAATAGGCACACAGAAGCCTCACCAAGGGAACATTTTCTCTTGACATCTCATTAAATTTTAAAGTAAAACCAACACTGAAATAAGTACTAGATAATAAAATTTGAAATTAACTGATAGTATCCAGCCTTTAAACACAGAGATGCAATTTACTATATACTCACTTGGCAATGCTAATTTAGAAAAGCATTTCAGACCTTAAGAGTGATCATAAATGGGTTAGCACTCGTTTGCCATTCCACTCTCCCATTTCCTAAAGAACACTAGAATTCCAGCTGCAAGCTGTGAAGACTGAGGCTTTGTTAGGAGTAAGTTAATCACGGGCTCTTTTCTTGTTTTGTAGAAGAACTTGACACACTGATAGGTGACAAAAGCGAAAAGCTGAGATCTTCAATGATGTCCTGCAGTCCGACTGGCGTTGCAACTGCATCCCTTTCCAGGCAGATGGCAGTCCAATCCCATTCCTTATGCGAGCCCTCGCTTTCCTCCGGTATACCACAGCCATTACATAGTATCCACGCAGCAGGAGCTCTACATGTCAAGAACCCATTGCCAAATTTGCTTGGGGGGCAGCAAACTGCGTGCTATACATCAACACAGGGTTTTCCTCAAATCTCAAGTACATTAATGCAACAGTCACCCGACCCTCAGACCCTTTTTCCTTCTGCGGAGGCTCAAAGTGAACTCAGAACTCAGCCTAGCATCACCCAGGACTCACCGCTGCCGGCTCAGACCCCCCCCAGCTGTGGAGTGAAGATGCTGACAGAGCACTCTACAGCCAGGACAATGCAGGACACGCTCATGCAGGAAGGAGATCTCAGCAATGATATCGATGCTCTTAATCCATCCCTGACTGATTTTGATCTCCAAGGTAGGCATCTCAGGCATTTTTATTTTGTAGAGTCAGGCTTATTACATTACATCACATCACAACCTGCAACAGATGCATGTATATCCTTCTTTCTTAACTACTTGTCCTTGCCACTGCTACGAAGACTTGCTTACCAGGATACATGATTTTGCACAACAGATTGACATCCAGAGTTTTGAAAAACCCAAATGCTTACTCTTGATTACAACTGCTGATATTGAATAGTACAATACAGTACTTAGAAGGTATTTTTTAAATTTCTCACTTAAAACTACTCAAGCAAAATTATTTAGTGCACGTCAAGAGAATTCTCATGTGAGAGGCACAAGCAGAAGTCATTTTGATTGAATTAACATGTCAACATATTTCTTTATCAATATTCAAACTCCTTCCACAACTCTACTCACAGGAGTGCTGTTTACTCCTTCACAAGACATTCATTCAGGGCATGATCTATGCCCTGGACAATTATATTTTCCAAGGTGTGTTCTTAAATACTTAGTCATGCAATGCTGACAAGTAAAGGGTTTTTTAATGTGAAATAATTGAGTCACCTTGAATGGACAGGATTTTGAACATTAAAAACATAGCTTTCCATTAAAAATAAGGGAAAAAACCCAACCCACCATGTGTGCGTACGTGTATACATATATATGTATTTATATATGTGTTTATATATAAATAAAACCTGCAGGTTCCAAATGATAAAGCTCTTGCTGTACCACATAACATGCAAAAACTGCCTTCCTGCACAGGCAAAACATGGTACAAAAGCAACCTAAAAAACAGAGCAAAAGAAACCTCCATAATCTATATGACCCAGCAAGTGCCATTGTGCCGTCACAACTATTCCACAATCCTGTCATGCCCAGATCACTTACTAAGATTAACAACAGTTTTTTGAATCCTCAGCTTCTTCCTCTTTCAGGCATTCCACACATTTCTCTGATCCTCTTCCCACTTCATTCTGGAACATGCTCATTTATATGGTGAATATTCTGAATGCTTCACCAATCTGGTACAATTCCATCAAAATTATCAACACTTAAATTAGAATTTAAGGCAAGGCCTGCACAGCTGCAGCAAAATCATTATGCATCCACACATTAAAAATAGTTCTTTTAAAAATCAGCATTATTCTAGCAAATGGCTAAATATGACCCCATTTGACAGTCTGCAGGCGGTGGGCATAGCTTTAGAACAAGTTTTCCCTGATACAGTCCCCACAAGGAAATCTTCAATGATTACTATGAAAAATATAGCCCTCCTGTAGAAACTTATGTCAGGCTTTCGCTGTGATATGCGCAGAAATATCAGCAGAAAGATGAGAACTGTTTTGGTAAACATTAGGAAAAAGTCCCATTTCAGATCTTTTGATTTGTCAGGTCAATCAGATACCCGGTGACTTAGTTCACTATTTAGAGAACCATAAGAATACAAGAAGGCCAGTCATAAAGTAGTATTATTTGCAGATTTGTCCCACAAAGTGCCAATAGCTCTTCCATAACTTATAAAGATAACAGAGGCAATTTCCTTTTTCAAAATTAGTGATGGGAGGGGGTTTCAAATACAAGTTATGCTACCTAAGTACACATTTGCAACAGAATCTTAATTATCAAGTGAAATAATTTTCTTAAACTAATGCTGCTTTCTCAGATTTAAATTTAAGGTGACAGACAACTAATAACTAGTGAATAATCTAATCAATCTTTTTCCTTTCTCAATCACAGGTGATTAAGAACACCTACACACACAGCATACTAACTGTATAATTACTGACCTGTAAAACAATGTTCAAAAAGCATATATGAAGAAAGTTGACTCAATCCCTTTTGTTTTGTTATAGGAAACCTTTGGGAGGAGCTGAAAGACGACAGCTTAGCTGTGGATCCCCTAGTTCTCATTTCATCATCCCCAATGTCTTCCCAATGTTTCCCTTCTCACTGCCAGATGGAGAACACCAGCAGCAATAGCATCAACATCCAGAATGGAACCCCACACAGCAATGTGCCTGACCTACAGCTCACTACTCTTTACTCTGCCTTTATGGAACTGGATACAGTGTCTCCTGCCTACCTAAGTAATACTGGATCCAAACCTATAGCACTAATGTGAACCACGCACCAACCTAGTTATTATTACTTGGTCTGAATACAGTCCTAACCATCCCACACACTGACCCGCCTGATTTATGTCAGCTGAAACTGTGTCCATTGGAATAAGAATACTCTTTTTCCAGAACTCACCCGCAGGATATGTAGCTTTACTATGACAATTTTCTACAGACAGATACTAAGAAAGTTTAAAAGACTATTTAAAGATAATATTGTTAACGGCTGAACTGGTCAACACCATTTTATCAAGCCACTCATCTTCTCTATCTTCCAGGAACAAATGACTATAAGAGGAAAACAAATTATTGACATTTTTCTTTTCTTTTTCAAAATGAAAGCTGCTTGCAAATGAACACAGAAGCCAGAGCTTACAATAATGTAACTTATTTCTTGGAGCCAGTGATGGCAACAACATCTTCTGCACACAACTCAAAACCAATCTGCATATTAAAACATTTATAGTCCCCTTGAAAGAAGTTCTGGGGGTTGGTAAACAAGAACATAAACTGAAAACTCCGCAAGTATTAGAAGATAGAGGACTAGCTGCTGCCAGACTAAACCAAAGCAACAGATAGAATTTAGCAAAAAATATAAGTTTTACTGTGTTTAAAAAGAAATTTAAAACTTTGCTTTTTTAATAAAAAAGAACAAAATTTAGTAGAATTTTTACTTGGCTGAAAATTATTCACATTCATTCCTCTATTTTTATTCAGATAAATGAACAGTAAGATGAGTTATTCAACCACTAAATCAAGATTTTTAAAAATGCTAATAAAGAGAACAACAATAGTTGTGGTTAGCCAAATCCAAACAGCACCTGTTTTAACAACCAGCTGCCATCTGATGCATCCAACAGGGTTTATTACAATGCTGAATTAACTCCTGCACTAGAATAGTGTCTGGTTCCTACCATGAACTAAACTAAGGCATCTCAGTAGCCAGTTTCTCAGGAACACATTTCTCTCTCTGATTTACCATAGAGGTGCTGCTCATGACATGACAGAGCAGCGCTTTATTTCAAGTGAAGCAATCTAAACCCAAAGCAATCTAAACCCAAAGCAATCTTGAGCAGGAACCCTTAACAGTGCTAAGGAAAAGAGCCTAAAAATAACAAAAAAAAAAAACAAACAAGTGTCTTGAAGTGACATCTCTGTTCACATATTACAGAAACTTGGAAGAAACTAAGGAGGTTAAAATTTACATCAGATCAGGTCACACTGTGAAAAAGCAACAATGAATTGCAAAGTACAGAGCAGGTAGAGCAGTGGGACAGTACTGCCAAAATAAATGCATGTGGGTTTAATAGCCACTTTCCCACAGCAAGGTACCACCATAAGGTGCTGCCAGTTAAGGCTGAAGCCAAACCCAGGATGAAATCAACAGTCTCAACCATGCCTACTAGCCTAGACTTAAACCAAAATCAGATTAGGGGCAGACGGATAGAGAAGATTTAGGAAGAACACATGATGCAAGTTCATAATCCCTGATGCAGCTACCAAGAGACCCTCACTTGACTTGAGCCCTTCTTTCTCTGCATTTCCTGCAAACAGAACAAGCAGTGTGAGACATGCATTCAGTTTGCCAAGCTGCTTGTTGTGGCTTAAGCAAAAAAAAAAACACCCAGCAGGAACAGAGTTCTGCAAACATACTAGAGCTGGGTAAATCAATTCTTGACCATCCTTACATTTAGATAAGGAATAAGGAAACAATTTAATATGCCACATCACTAGAAATGTACATATTAAATGATAAGCCTTAGTAAGTATAAAGCTGCTAAACAACATATTCAGAATAATTTGAGTTACCATGTTACAGATAAGTAACTACCAAGCACAAACTTTTAAGAGCAATAATATTATGCTAAATACCTTTTTTGGAAAAAGAATCAAATATATATATATATATATATGCCCTAATGTAACCATGCATTGAGGGAAAGCAAAACCAAACCGACCCCCTGCCCTGTGACAGAGAGCTACTATCATTTCTTAAAATATGTCAAAATCACTCTTAAGCCAAAAATAGTATTTGGTAAATAATGTTATCTATAAATAGCAGACTGTTTACAACAGATCTGACCTGTGCTATGAGATTGGTTTCCAGAGCTCTGTGTGTACACTCTCTCTGACTTCAACAGAGGACTCCACCACCGTGCCAGCACTCCCACCACTGGGGTAGGACCATCTGTCCAAACCCTCACAAATTCCTCAGATACATTTAATTCCAGTGACCACCGACATCAGTGGATTCTGCATACAGCTGCCTGTATCCCCAAGGACTTTTCAGGATAATTGTCTATTTAGAAGTCCTTAACTGGAAACAGCGAAGCGTTGATACAGAAATCAGTATTTCCAGAGGCCTAAGGGAGATAATGAGTTCTTAATTATTTTCAGTCACTGTTTGCATCAAATTCTCATTAGCCCTTTTTAAAACCCTTTGGATGACACACACTGAGTAGCACCATGCAGTGAACACACTATGGCCACTACACAGAATATCACAGACCCTTGCAAAGCATTACCCTACAGAGTTAACCATCTTCCTAATACTTTGCGTTTGGCAGAGGGGAACAATGACAAGACAATACATGAGAACATGGCAGGTGAAGTCTATCAGGAAGGTCCATCACTCCAGAAACATAATAAAATTGCAATAACATATTTGTAATTAAAGCAAATCCACAGCACAAATCAACTGTGATTCTGGACAACACTTTACCAGGATGAGCAAGGTATTTGCTAAGGAAATACAGATTTTTAAAACAAGAAAACCTATGCTTCTTTTTCTGTGTTAAAGATTTCTAGTTTATGGGTACAGCAATTCACTCATTTGTAAATTCATATGTATCATTCAGATACTACACGATCTATGCTGAACAGGTGGAGGGCATTCTCTCAGATACACCAAAACATACCATGCACATGATCACAAGGTGGAGAAACAGAGGAAGAAATCTACATGTCATGCTGCATTCCGTATTTTTCTTAGTAATAAGCTTTGAAGATTGAACAGACAAAGAACAAAAGGGGCAAAAAAAAAAAACCACTTTAAAAGCTTTTTTCTTTTGTTTTGCTTGATTTTCTTTGACATACTGTATCTACGTAAGAAAAGTTTGTCATCCCTATATAAAATTATTTATTCTAAGCACCTTATTTTCTCCAGTGAATTCCATTTTAATATGGTTGGACATTTCACAGAAGTTCTAAGGAAAATCATGTAATGATTTATATTAAAAAAGAGTCATGTTAAAAACAAAGACTGCAAGTTAACTAACATAAACCCTCTGGGTTTTCCTTCCCACCCCCTTCAGGCTCTTCCATCTAGAATTTTCTGGTCTTGCTTCAGTTTAGCATTAGCAATTCTGGTACACATGGAAATTGAAATATGGGTGCATGAGGAAAGAGTCATGCTGTAAATTATAGTTCTGGAACAATCATTTTTTAAAGAAGGTAAAAAAATATTTAACTACTTGAAGTTTATATAGAAGAAAGATCCTTATCTTGTGCAATTCTTATTGCATACTTTTAATATCATTTTTTACAGCCCCTGATAGCACAGCAAACATTTTCCTAGAACTTTAAGAGCTGCTGACACCTCACTTCCTACCTCCTGTAAAATAAGTCTTTTGCACACATTGCAAATCTATTGCAGATACATTTGCATTAAAGACCATTTTAAGTAAGACACTGAAAACAGGGGAAGGAAGAAGGAAAGGAATGAAGCTTTCTAAGGCCAATGATGTTTGCTTCATCAGCCTAAACCAAACACATTATGCAAACAGCTATTTCTGTCAGGAGTAAAAAAAAATAAACACCAAAATCTGAAATATAATTACCATAAAAATCTCTCAATTCTAAGCAGAAGAAAGTGTTCACTGTTGCCCTCCTCAACATACGATTAGGAAAAAATTGCATTCTAAAGATTAGGATTCAATAGTTTAACATGTATTCTTTTATTGTATGTTTCAGAAAATATTGTGTAGTGACTTCAGAAAATTCAAGTAATAGCAATTTCTATTGGAACTATGTTTTCAAGCCCTTTTTGCTTGACATACCTAAATCTACTTAATGTTCCCAAATTTACTGTTACAAGACTCCTGCCTAAAGCAGGCTGCCTCCCACACGTTTTCCTGTTCTTGATATAAAACCATCACCTCTGAAGATGCATTTGCTTCTGTTGATACAGCTCTTGTCAGATACATTCATATCTTTGCACCATCTTTCAAAACCCTGGCTCAGCACTGAGCTGCTTAAACCAGACAGTGATTAATAGGCATTATGAAACAGATACAAGTAGTCAGTGTTACTTTGTATCTCTAACTTTGTACACAAAGCTTGAAAATAAAAGTGAAACTGACCTATTGGCACTTCCAAGTAAATTTAAACTACTGGCTGAATTAAGTATTTGCATTCCAGGACTTACCGGTGCTGATGCCCTTTTTGTATATTTCAGGCTTCCAGATACATGTGTGTATGCTTGTGTTTAGGCTACTAAGTGTTAAAACCAGTAAATACTTCCCCACAAGCTTTTTCTAACCCCTTAATCCATTTCTGGTCCAACACAAACAAAACCAAACCATCCAGGAGCTGAAGCAGAGCTGTATGGTTTCCCATGCAGCCCCTCACTGCCATAATGGAAATGGAAGCTTTATGGCAGCACTTCCCACTTCTGGCCACAGCAAAGATTGAACTGAGGACTGATTTGCTCTTCACTAAAATAATGAAATAAGTCAATAAAATTAAATATAAATATAATTTAAATAAAATTTAAATCCAGTCCTTTTAGAAGCAGAAATGGCATTTTTAGTTATTTTTATCCAGGCAAAGAAACAAAACTTGTTTGCACTGAAAACACTGACATCCTGAAAATAAACAGCAGCGGGAACACCATTTATGCACATTGGATTTGTTTCCCCTGGGTGCTTCCCATTGATGAAAAATCTCAGCTATCAAATACCAATATAACAAACACTGACTGGAGGATAAACTGACAGATCGCAGCAACCAGGCACCAACATGAAGCCACCATCAGACAAGAGCCCTCACCAGTGGGAGGCAGTGGGAAACCAGCAGTCCGTGCTCTTCAGCCTTCTATAATAACAATGTTTTAGTTTTTTGCTACCTCCACATGAAGTCTGGGTGTCTTCCTAGCACAGATTTCTCAGTTTGGGCTCCATACAGCAAAGGGCTCAGAGGCAAGCAGGAAGCTGAACAACCCAGCAGCCTTTTCTGGGCTGAACCTCTCTTAATCAAGGCCCATGAGATGCCAACAAACACTGGAATTAGTTTCCAAGAACTACTGAGCTCGCACCAACTTCAAGGCAAACCAATTTTATGCACAGAAAGCATATGGCACACCTCAGGGCCAATAAATGCCAATAAGCAAACTGCAGCTGAATCATAGAATCCCAGACTGGTTTAGGTCGAAGACACCTTAAAGCTCATCCAGTTCCAACCCCTGCCATGGGCGGGGACACCTTTCACTAGAGCAGGTTGCTATTAAACCTCCGTAATTCACCCAGTGAATAACAAAGCACCAAAACACATCATTGTATTGAAGAACTGAAGGCTTCCTATTCCGAATAGGAAGGGGGCCAATAAGGATGCTGGGGACGGACTCTTCATTAGAGACTGTAGTGATAGGACAAGGCCAACGGGTTAAAACTTAAGCAGGGGAAGTTTAGATTGGATCTAAGGAGGAAATTCTTTCCTGTGAGGGTGGTGAGGCACTGGAATGGGTTGCCCAGGGAGGTTGTGAATGCTCCATCCCTGGCAGTGTTCAAGGCCAGGTTGGACAAAGCCTTGGGTAAGATGGTTTAGTGTGAGGTGTCCCTGCCCATGGCAGGGGGGCTGGAACTGGATGATCTTAAGGTCCTTTCCAACCCTCACTATTCTATGATTCTATGAATCTATTAATTTTTGACCTGGGCACAGAAGAGACAAATATAACCCCTAAACATTATTCCTGACAAGACCTACTAGGCCCAACTGCACAACCAACACCATCACATTAGACAGATTACCCAAGTTCCTTATCCACACCATCGTCACTGGGAAATCAATCACGTCAGATGAGCAGGGGCGGGGACAGCCTCTTAAGCAGTGTGGAGGTGATTTTCGCCAGCACCACTTTCCCACAGCCCTCAGGGAGCTGCCAAGCCGCCGTTCCACCGTATCCCACCGCCTTTAGCGAGGAAAGGAGGGCGACCAGCCCGGCGAAAGGGCCACCGAGCCCCGAAAACAGCAGCCACCTCAGGGCGGCAGCGCCGACCGTTAGCGAAGGGCGCCCAGCGCCCGCTGATTGGCTGCTGAGTGGGATTTGAACAGGAGGGCGGGAAGAGCCGTTGGGCGTGAGCCGCTGCCTCACAGCTGAGGGCGGGAAGGGCCGTGCCTCGCCTCATGGCGCCGGGGAAGGCGCGTTTGGTGCGCTGGGAGGTGGAGGTGAAAGGGGATGAGCAATAAACTCAACCCAAGGCAGGTGTGGCTCTGCGTTTCCTACAGGCTTCTTTCTCCTTAACCCTCCATGGAGGCGGCTGAGCAGATCTGTGCTGTTGGAAGAGTGGCTGTGAGTGGCTGAGCTCTGAGGTAGAAACATGCCAGTAACAAAAAACACAAGCTAAAGAAGGGAATTCACATGATTTGGGTGAACAAAGAATTCCAGCTCTCACCGAAGGATTTAATTTCAACATGAATAAGCCCAGCGTGTTCGTGCCCGTCTGAGGCACTGGGCTAAGACGATTACTAGAGGCATTTATTATGCTTACCTTTAACTCCGTGACTTTAGAACATCACAAATAAAACCAACCAAACCCAAAATGGGAAAAAAATATTTTACCAACTATCCGGTTAATCTAATAAGATAAAGTGCTCTGCTTTTAGCTGTGGAAATTATAGAATCATGGGATGGGTTGGGTTGAAGGGACCTTAAAGCTCATCCAGCTCCAACCCCTGCCACAGGCAGGGACACCTTCCACTAGAGCAGCTTACTCCAAGCCCCTGTGTCCAACATGGCCTTGAACACTGCCAGGGATGGGGCAGCCACAGCTTCTCTGGGCACCCTGTGCCAGCGCCTCAGCACCCTCACAGGGAAGAGCTTCTGCCTAAGAGCTCATCTCAGTCTCCCTTATATCCAACCTGAACTTGCCCTGTTTATCCTCATTTTAGCTTCTCATAGAGAAATTCAAACATTAGCTGAGATAATAGCCTTTAAAACTTATCTCAGTGGTGACACTTGGGTTTGTGCTTCCTTGCCAGGGAGCTGCAGGAAGCATGTGTGTGTATTTGTCACTGCAAAGAACAGCTTTGGACTGTTAAGTCAAATTCAAGTTACTGCCAAATGCCAGCTGATTAGCTCCAGGCAGGGAATGACTTTAAAAAGTGTGTGTTGTCCTGGTGCTAAAGAGGCTTGGTCTGTCTGGGGCAGAAAGTTTTATTTCCTCTGAATGTATAATCACGTCTCCCTGCACGCTTTAATTTCAGGGGACACCCTGTACCCTGCGTTCTCCTGCATTGTGAAACTGCAGCCAGCAAAGCAGCCAGCTTTTAATTAGACAGTTACGTGTAAGGGTGTTAAAGTATGCGTTTGGGAAATCAAAACCATGCCTTTCACAGCATCATTCATGAAGGAAGTGTTTTGGGGTTGAGTTTTGGGGGGTTTTCTAACTCAAATAGGTCCTGGGTATTTCTAGCTTTCAGGTCTGGTGCATGTAGCACCTTTCATAGCCAAAACTGGGTCTGCGTGCACACACTCAAAGGATGCTTTGTACCCCTCTTCCTTTGCTTGGCTGCATGCCTGAGGGAATACACTTTACACCACGCACAGGGCTAGCAAGTGACACATAAACGTGACAGCTTGATATTTTACTGAAGGTTTTACCTATTACTGCCAGTTTCCCTTTGGCCAAGCGTTGCTATTGCACGCAAGTACAGCTGCATGCCTAACTCCCCAAGGAAATACAGTAAACGCAGCATATTCCAATAAATCATTATCTGGAATGATTTCTTACTCTACAGCTAAACTATAAAGATTATAAAATACCCAGTCTGCTATTCTGATTCATTCTGTCATTCAGCAGCAAAGGAAGAACCGAAAGCATTTGGAACTCATCTCTCCCTCATGTATTAACTTCCTTTCCTAAAGTAAATTTCATTATGTGTTCGCTATATTGCTGTTTGTAACTTCCCTGCCTGTTTTTATTCCTTGCTACAAATCTCTTTCATGTGCAAGCTTCATTAACATGCTTTACACCCTCTCCTAAAATAATTTCATTATTTTTAAATAAAACAGGCCTTTGTTATTGAAGGTCCCCTGTCAGTTTCCAAAATAATGGCTGGGAATCATCCAGCTGCAATTATGCTCTACCTACCTAAATTCTCTTTGTAGTTTTAATTAAAATACATTACCCAGCATAATTTCACCTCCTATTTTAAGTTCTTGTACAGCACTGGTTAAGGATAAAAAGTTATCTCTGTGAAGTAATCACCCCTTTTTGTGGGCTTAAATAGGTTGAATAAATACCTTTGTTTTACCCTAGCATGCAATGGCAGACTTCTTTAATCTCTAAAGCTTCCTTTAAAAATAAGATATGTTGTCTTACAGGTTTACATTGGGAAACTTGGAGTACTATATCACTGGGAAATGTTCCTACTACAGTTAAGAAATGTTAAGGGAATGCAAGTCGCAGATAGATGAATGCCCTTGGACAATGACAGAAGAATTAGAAGCATGGTGTGAACACGTCAGATTTTCCACAGTAGCTAAGCAGCTGATAAGTACCATAAGAAATCAGAATCAGAGGAGAGGCACAGAACATCTCCAGGATGATTAGGCATATTTATTAATAAATGACACTGACATACCAACTAAGTATATTTTTGGCAGACATTGAACACTGGGAAATTTTCTTTTGAATGAAATTTGGATTTACTTTTTAAAGGTTCTCTTGAACCCCAAAAGTTTTTCAAGGAGACTCGAGCATCAAAGAGAGGTTTTAGCCTGCTTATTGGAGTTATTAGGACTGATTTTGCTATCTCATCTCTTTAGGTGTTCAGTGAAATCAGTATCCAGTCCTTTCAAGAAGTCTCAGAAAATAGACCTGATGCTTCCAGTTATTCAGGTAATTCCGAAAGTTAAGTTTAATCAGAAGAGAGCATCTAACCACAGAGAACCTGTACAGGCAAAACCAGAAACTATCCTCTGCTTTACAAGAGCCTGAGTAAGAGAACTGATATCTTCATCCCAGATTTCAGATGAGTGATACCTGAAAACCAGGCATGTTAGCAACCTGCACTCAAGGTCACCACCTTATTGCAGGACACGGAGCAGGTATTTCATGCAGCTCCAAGTAATAATCCAGAAGTTAAAGCCTTGTATTAATATTGTTCTTCCCCAAGTTCCTGTACACAGGAATTGTTCTGCTGATACAGTGTTATTAAGGCATCCCCTGTAAGTCTGCGGAACCAAAAAAAGCACAACCTGGTGCACAACTCATCTGTGAACTCCAAAGTTCTGTTCATGTACTTTGAAAATCATTTAGTTATGTATGCCCCAAGATATTTCTGTATATTAGAAAGCTGAATCCCATTTAAACCCTTTTCCTGTAATTGTTTTACTCTTGTAACTACACAAACCACTGCAGAGTTTTCGCATGTGTGTTGCTCAGTTTATAACCACCAGAAAGTGAAGCTGGTTACATCCATTTGCACAAAACTGGAGTTCTGTTATGGATGGAAGACATCTGAAATGGAAATTGGAGGTTTTTTCATGTGTTAATATATTTAAATGAAATAGACAGCCACCCTCATGTCTAGGATCAATCATTTATTGAGCTTTCTTACATTTTGCAGTTTGTTACAGGAGAGGAAACACTTGCTGATGAAAGTGACATGGTTTGTAACCGTTTTCCAAGGTAATGGAAAAAGTTAAGCAGATTCCCTAGGATGCACATTGATGACTAAGCTGCCAATATTAAATCATTTTAGGCAAGTGTACTCCCTATTTTATCCTTGTATAAATTCATTTCAGTACTCCCCTTCTCCTACAGGAAGACTAAATTGTAGCATCTAATTTTCTTTATCCTGAAGTCTCAATATTGGCTCTCGCTACTTATCTAGCTGCAAACAAGTCAGGCAGACTAGTTACTGAAGCCAAAGCCACAGAAGTGGGTTCGGTGCCAAGGTTCTCTCCTGGCAACCTACTCAGTTTCCTACTGTCCCAAAAGGAAACAAAAGACTCCCAGTTTTCTGAAAACCAGATTCTCTGCATAACAGTGCATTGCATTGCCTCGAAATGGGCCACAGTGGATGTTCTTATAGGAAACAAATCAGGTAACTAACAAGATACAAAGAATTATAAATGAACTGGATAAAAATGTTCCTAACATTTTTTCCCCAGTGGTATATTAACTAGAATCCTACTTTCCTTCCACAAAAAATATATTTTTTATAAATACATTTTAATGCAGACACCTCTGATTCTATGCAAAAAAAGTCAATGTCACATTCAAACAGGTTTTCTCAGTGTAGCATTAAGACACAAGCAGACATCACAGCAGGCATTAACACAGTGATTCTAGGGAGGCAGTTAACTACAGCTTGTGAACAGATACAAAAACACACAATTTCACCTGCTTAGTCAGGCTATGATTTAGAAAACAACCAAGCTACAGCTTGAGGCCTAGAGTACCACACTCTCCACCTTTAGAAAATTATACGAGCTGTCAGTGAGATTTAATATCTGATTAATATTAAAACATTTGTATAAACTTAGTGCTTATGGAAGGGGGGGGGCGTATGGAAAAGAACTGCTAATGGGTATTACCAGATATCTCAAACTCAAGAGAAAAAGCATTACACATTCACCATGACCTTAAAGCTCGTGGTTCCATTTAGATGAAATTCTTTTCTTGCCCTTGTAATAAGCAATAATCTATAGTTTAATTTCTAGCCAGATCTAATTAAAATAGAGCTGTTAACCATATTTTTTCAAGTTATGAATAATGAACAGAACAGTTTTATAATACTAAGTACACAAGTTGGGTATCAGCCTTTTCTTACCTTAATTAGACCACAAATCATCTTTGCATGAATAAGAGTTACCTTTAATTTTTGTCATGAAGATTGGAATTTAGTTTTTAGGGCTCAACATGTAGCACTATTTCTCAATAAACTCTAATAGACTGTTTGCTCAAAATGAAGGCATTTGGAACTTGGTAGCCTGCAGTATTTCACACACAGCCACGCTACTCTGCTCTAAAAGAAGACATAGAGACAGACTACGAGCATGGCAGTTAACCACAAGTGTATTACTGGTGCTTTTCTTTAAAACCCCTGAAGTTCACAGGAACCCAAAACTGAGAAAGCAGAAGAATGTGTTGAGTTATAATTTCCTTGTCTCAGAAAAATTATGTCACTGTTAGCACTCACAGAGACTTAGTTTCTTTTTCCAAGATTGACTCATAAAGTACACGTCTAATCCTGTCTTATGACAGGAAACAGCAAGTCATTATTAGCAGATAATCTTGGTTAGCTCTTAAGATGTTTTCTTTCACTTTCAGAAAGGCAGATCCTGAATTTCCTGACTGCTTTGTTAAAACAGAGCCGTGGTGCTAATTAAAATAGTTTTTTAAATACGAAGAATTCTCTTTCCAGAGCCAATATATGGTGATTTTGGAGATGAACTTCCAAAGTAAACCCAGTAATGATTCATATTAAAATACAAAGCAATAACTAGTCCAGGAGATTAACAAATTCTCCTGTGAACAATCCTGTTAAAATTTGATTTTCAAACGGTTTATAATAAAAATCAGCTGCCAATTCAAGGGGGAAAAAAAATTGTGGGTTTCATTCTGCAGCTGACCTGAGAGCTCTCAGCTCCATTTCAGAAGTTGCTGTTCAGTGCTGTACAAATCGTGGCCTTTAACATTAAATATTGCATATAGTTTCAATGCAAAACAAGGACAGAAGTGGCATTAAAACAGCAACTGCACTGCACAAGTCTTTGAAGAAACACTCTTCTTCTAGTGCTGTTTATGTACACAATACAATGGCTCTTGTCAACCCTACACATACTGCTGCATAAGCAAGGAGAAAGGAATGGCACCTTTCCCTTGGACAGTGATTCCCACATGTTTGTAAACATGGGTGTAGGTGACCTTAAAAAGATGCTAACAAAGTGTTTCTATGTGAAACAGAGAGATTAACAGTGGCAACTGTTGTAGTAGAATAAGTTAAAAAGCACCTTCATTACGCTCCCCACAGAAAGTTTTGTCATTTGCTGTGGTTTAAGAACCTGGACCTGTTATTTGCAGTGAACTGTAGGGACTTTTTAAAACAAAGTAAAATTCTTCAAACTGAAAAGCTAAAGCTAAAATAGGTAGAAATTTATTTGTTCCCGGTTTAGAGTATTCCTAGTAATAGAAGACAACAAACTCACTCAATAAAATATTTCCTATCTGATTCACACTGAATTCTCTGTTGGCCTGAAATTATTACCTATGGAACCTGAATTATCAGAACAGCAGAATCCAGGAGAGCAGCAGCAGGTAGTTAAACCTCTTAACCTCAAACCTACCACAAAATGCAGAGTGTCAAGAAGTCCATTCAGCAGCATACTGCGCTATTGGGAACACGGTAACTTACTCTAGGTTCATTTTTAAAGGGGCACATCTACCACTCAGGTTTCTGTTGATCACAGTAATACTTTCATGAAATTACTTTTGGTCTTGAAGTCCAAAGTCTTAAAAGGAGGTAGCATAAAAAAGAAGATGACTCTCTCAGATCAGCTGTACAGAGAGGATACTCAGTACAATAACCCAAGAATCTGCACCAAAGTACAACTGCTCTCACCACAAATATACCAAGATTTATATTTCTGTTTAAAACATCGATACATTTGAAAAAACAAACGTATGACTGGCAAGCCGGGGCAAGCACCATTGCTAGACAGCTTTGAAAATCTTATGCACAGAAATGATTCTGACAAACAGCAGGTGAGAGTTGAAAGATACCCCAAAAAAACTTGTACGGGGTGCTAGTTGTAAACACACGAGCTGCCTTGTCTTCAAATCGCTGTCTTTTCTCCTTCAAGAGTTGGAACAAGATTCATAAATACTTAAACTTGCAGAATGTCATTAAATACATAGATAGTTCAACAGCTCTGATGCAAAAAAAACCAGCAGGCTGGGGGAAAGACCTAGACTTTTGCAAGCTATTCTCACCTTTAGTAATTATTGTGCTATAAAACTTACTGATCAGGAGTTCAAAGCATCATACAAATAACAAGAAAATTCTTTTACTCTCAGGTAAGCTGTAGGCTAATGCATGATTTAACACACTAGAAACAAAAACTAGTGATAAATACAAGTCTTGCTGTGCTAATTACAAGATACTAGTTGTGTAAAATTAGTGAACTTTATGTACTTTCTTAGCTATGATTCTTAAAAAAAAACTGTGCTGTACCCTAAACTCACTGCTTTTCCTTTAGAAAACTGAATCTTCTCTCAGAAGTAAAGCCAAGCCAAATACAAATGGTAACACATTTAATAGTGACCACAAGCCCAGATAGAGCACGAAACCCTCCCTGCTCTTAGGCAGACAGCCACAGCTGGAACCATTTGCAGTTCCACTCAGCTGTGCCTAGAAAGATGTTTCATCACGACTGGAAATGATATTTTATAAAAATCATTACAATCACACCTATCTGAGGCTAACATAGAATGTTCCACTTCAACTCACAGAATTAGACATGGAGACATCAAGTATTTATAGAAATATCTACAAACTGCAACTGCCTTTTATTGGTTTAAAGTATCAGTGAACTGAACTTTAGAGTAAGGGTTTCATGACAGCAGACTATCCCCCACAGCCTTCTCAGCTTTTGCTTTGCATACACTAATTTACTCCTTTGATACTGCTACTTCTTTGCATTTCTAAGAAGCACATGCTGAGAAACTTGGGAAAAAATGGTCTTGAACTTCTTAGAGTTTGAAAAGAGAGCTCTTGCTCAATTTTTGCTGTGCATAAAGTCCTACGTTATAAGCTTACTGTTACACTAGACTTAATGTTAAGACAGTAAGTCTGACATTATTAGACTTACTGTTTCACCTGTATTAATACCCAATGCAAAACATTTTTAACAAAGGGAAAACACCCTCATAACATTCTTCAAATTCAGATACAAATGGAAAACTGGAAATTCCAGCACTCTCCAACTGCCCTAGACAAATGAAAGCATTGCTCTAACAAGCAGTGCTGAAGCCCTTATCTTAGTATTGAGCAGAGATGAAAGAAAATAGACGTGGAAAACACATAGCACAAATAGGCTGCATGTTAGCTATGTAAAAATGTTAAATAAAGCTAAAATCCTTCCAATTTTCCTGATTATTCTGCAATCAGTTTGCAAAAACTGAAATTAGTGGAAAATGCTTATGGAAGTTAAAAACCCTCAAGGCTATTTTTGCCTTCATCTGAAATGTAAAAGGACAGTACCTGATTTAAAACAGCCCTATCACTGAACTATCAGTCTTCACTGGGAGTTTCAGTGTCTCCGCCATTAAACAGAATATTACTAGAAGGACCAAAACTAAAGGATGAAATACCAATTTTTGAGAACTAATCTAAAGGTGAAACCTGCTTTTATAAGATGTTACACTTGACATTTTCAATGGGGTGTACAAGAGAAATTGACCCAGAGAAACAAATCAACAGGACTCTGCATTTGCATCCATCCACTCAGGTGGTTTCTCAGATCACATTCTTTATGAAAGCAACCAAGTCCTAACAGATATTTGAGGGCAAGAACACAAATCCACAGAATTAGGGCAAAATCCCTCAGGTCCCACAAGGCCATTTGCAGAGCAGACACTGAAAGAACTTAGGGAAGTGGTATCCAAAGACCATTTAGAACCGCTTAAAGTTCTGAAGAACTGGGTCTGCTTCAAAGCTCAAAAACGATGAGACTGGCAAATTTAGTCATGAAACTCCTACTGTGGCAAAGAGTCCTTGGGTTGTGGATCCTTGTCCAGCTGACGTTGTAGGCAACGGAACTGGAGGTGTTGCTATCCCTGACGGCTTCGATAGGAAGGGGAAGGCCAGCGTGGGTTGGCTGCCCATCCTGTGCTCAAGGTCCTCCACTGTATGAATAATCTGCCTTGTTGTGCATCACAAGCTTGTTGTCTACAAAGTAGAAACTGTCCGACTGTGTCTCATACGGATGCAGGATCATCTCTCGAACTGCAGGGGGGCGGAATAAAAGGATATATATAAATTAATCATGTTCCACAGAAGCCTCACTGAGGGCAACATCCTGCACGGGGTTTCATTACATTTAATAGCACTGCTCAGATCACAGCAAACCCTCAAAACCAAACTAGGGACCTACCAAACCGTTCACTGACATTCATCTTTTAAATAACTCAAACACAATCAAAGTATATTAAGGCGCCGTACAAATTGTATGTGCTTTACCTAACCTCAAAACAGTAACACTGGAGTCTGGACCGAGGATTTGCTTTTGCTTTTAAATGGCAACTCAAAAGAAACTGGTTCAGGTGTTACAACAAGTAAGCAGAAGGGCATTGCTGTTTTCTCCACAGGCTGCAATATTAGTGCTGACATAAGTGATTAGGGGTTGTGAAAGAGCATTAAGATCACACAGATTTAGTACCGCTGCTAAGAAGTAAAGAGGAAGAGAAAATAAAAGAGAGGAGAGAAAATAAAAGTTATGTTCCTACTAAAACCTCTCAAGCTGTCAATGCAGCACATCAAACATTAAACCAGAACATAATGTTTAAGCTATCCATTCATTGAATGTCTTTTTAATCCTCTTTTTCTTGGTTATTTTATAACGCAATTATCTTTTTTACACCCTGACACTGAAGCCTCCCAGCAACTGTCTGGTGGGTGATGAGATACATGCTGCTAGAAGACAAAATCTGTATTAACACAGATGCAAAAGCACCTGGAAGTCTTCTTCCTACCCGCTTTCTACAGCCAGCTTTTAGGAAAGGGCTTGCTCAAAACACTGAGATTAGCATCACTGTGTGGTCACCCAGTAATTAAAGAGCTTACTGAGATCCTCGGAGAGCTGTGGGAACTCATAGATGTGCTCACAAGTATTTTTACTGCTGGGGATGCAGAACCCAAATTCAAAATCAAAGCTCTTAAGCAACTGATCCCGGAAGTAGTGCCTCTCAATCATGCGGAAGTTATTAATGGGTTTGTCTCCTACTGTGAACTCCACCCTGAAAAAGAAGAAGATTGCAATGAGCTTTCTCACTTAAGCAAGATTTGCAACCATTGCTGAAAGGTAGAAGAGAGCTCTTGTAAAACAAACACCAGCCAAAAACATAAAGCAATGGTACTAACCAAACCATTATCTTTTCTTAAAGCTACACGGGCGCAACAGAGCATTACAAACCATAGGTTATACTATAGTCTGATTCTTTTCACTCAAAAGACATGCAAGACAATTTTACAATTAAACTCATTTGCAGTGAAGGAAAGATCCCTCCAGCTACACTGTAGGCACTTCACTACCACTGACTACCAGTTCCTTATCACTGTGGGGTTTTATACAACTTATTTGGGTGGGCACTAAAAAAAAAGCCAAATCTCCATGGTGTGTTTCATTGATGGATGCAAGCAGCGCTACCAGCCACATCAAAGATCATTTGAGTACATAAAGCATTAAACATTACTTCACCATTTCACGTGCATCTATGGATTAATGGCTCTTTGGGAATGCAACGGGGAAGGCTGCAGAGTATCTTCCAAAGCTGGCAGAGCCTCTGACAAACTATAATGCACAGAAAAGCACTGGAATATCTGGTAGTCTGTCCACCTTATTTTGCACCTTTGAGCATGAATCTCTTCAACTCCATGCCTATTCCAGAGGTAAATAAACAAGCTAAAGGGATGGAGAAAGCAAAGCACCCAGCAAAGAGGCTTGGAAATCCTCCTAACAACACAAGGTCCCCATTAAATCAACTTCCTGACAGGATCAACAAGCCAGAGCCATTTTTTAATAGGATTTCAGTTGTTTCCTGTACTAGAAAATGCAGCCCAGGAGCAATTACTTACGTGGCTCCCACTTGCCGAAGTCTGAGAAAAGCTGGAGTAAACTGATAGCGAACGAACCGTCCAGCATTGGGATCAATGTCCTTCCTGTCATTGTGTTCACGTTCTGGAAAAGCACAAAGGCAAGTCTGAGAAACAGAAACCCAGTGAAAATGCCTGCAGTCACACGTTATTGAGTCATAAAAGCCAGGAAGCTCTTCTGAGGAAGCCTGATCCTCTTGAAGGCACCAACTGCTGGTTACTCCGAGACAGAGGATGGCCCTTTGGTTTGATGCACTTCTTCTGTTCTAAAGTGATTTATTGCTCCCACCTCTGATTCAGGACTGCAGTATGACACTGAACAAGCCGTTTCAGCTTAGCATGTCTGGTTTGCCAGCTACAAGCTACAGAGAACTTCCAGAAACCTTCTTAGAAGAGTGCTTGATCAGGAAAAGAATGTTTGCCCTAGGGTTTTATTACCACTGGCAATAGGTAACACTTTGATGGTTATAACTAACACTGAAAAATTATGAAAAAGGGAAGAAAAAAAAAAGGCAAACTTTCCATTTGTGTAATTTGCACAGTTGATATTTTCCCTTTTGGAAATACCATTTTCCTGATCCTGAGGGAAAGATGTTAAACTATGTACAGGGAGACTCAAACTGATGAACAAGCATGAAACGAACACGCGGTGACCTCCTCCTCCTCCTCTGTCTCTGTTTACAACACCCATCTGTCCCTTCTCATCACAGATGGCAGTCATGACTACAGCAGCAATGAGCTCTGTTCACTGTGTTGGTACAAAAGGACACCTGAATGATACTTCTGGTGCAGGCTGAGCCTCTAACCCTCTTGCAGCTGAGAGCACCTCCTGTTTTGGGGAAATGTATGGAGAAAAATGAGTAGGAAAAGGCAAAAGGAAGCAGACACTAGCATTGGTTTGGCCGTGAAAATATGTTGTGTGTGCACTCACCTGAAGCTGCTGGTTTGGTGATTTCAAACAAGACTGTGCCAGATTCCATGTCCCGGATTTTGAACCTGGTGAAGTCTATCTTGTAAACATTTTCCTCTGGAGTGCACAAATAATCTGCAGAGGAAAGGAAATACAAATGAAGGCTGCCCACAGTTACCAAGGTATTTCTGGCTATTCTTTAAAGGTCACAGCCAGCAGTGAGAGCGGCCCAAAGGCATCTCCACTGCTACTGTTTGTAATGCAAAAGTGATGTCTATGAAGACAGTCTCAGGTCTGAATGCTCACACCGCCCTGCTTGGACAGGACAGGGAGGTCATCACCTTTTCCCAACCCTATGCCAGCATCTTCTGCATCCGTTTCTCCTTGGGGCATCGAGAACAGTCAGCACCTCCATCAAATCCTACCCTTTTTCTGTGTAAGAGGCTTTGCCTGGTTTAAAAACTGCCCTCTGGCAGAACACAACTGCTAAGCAGCTTTGTGACCACTAAGCTGCACTTAACTGGAACAGGAGTGTCCTCCCTTGTGCCACCTTCCCTATCTCCAGCCCTCTGCAGACAAAGGATGGCCTCTTCTCTCCACTGATGCTTGTCCCAGGCAAGGATTCTACTTCTTCAGCACTGAAAATGGTGTCGAAGCTTTTCTCTGTAGTAGGAAAACAGTCTGGGAACGAAGCCCTTCCCTGCTTCCACCAGAGCTGGTATCTCTGGGACAAAGACACTGTTTGTGGCTTCAGTCTTGCTGTGCCCTGAGACAGCTTCCTGATCAGGGTACCAGCCTCCTTTCTGGGTAAAGAGCAGTGGTACTTCATTTTCACTGCACATACAAGCACAGAAAGCAGCTCCAGTAACTTCCTTTATCCTAAATAAATGCATTTAAATAAAGGTATGGATACAAGCCAGGTTAGCTTTTGACCAACTGTGCGTCTGCAGATTGCAGGAGACTTGGAGGTTCTAAGGTGAAAGTAATGCTTCAACATTCTAATTCTAAACCCTTTCTCGGCTACTAATTCCTGCTGCTAGTCTGAGTTAATCACTTATTCCTGTCTGCTTTCCGGTTCCTAAAATTCAGATACACCCATCCACTTAAGGCTTATTCATTGACGATCTGAAAACAAAGTGCGATCTGTTACTCAGAGATCACACCTAACCCATCACAACCCTTACTTGGGTATAACAAATCTTACATCATGGTTGGGGGTTACTGCTCAAGGGCAGTGGTTAGCACATCCCATAGATAAGGAGTTAATAAAAGATTGCTGTGGTGTAGTAAGAGAAGATCCTAAAGGCCACACATTGCAAGTACCAGACAGCGAGGCCCTCATGCTGGGATGTGTAATTACAGCAATCAGGTCCCTCTGCAGGGAGAGACAAAGATAGCTGTAGTCAGCACTGGGGAAGATTGCTCCTAGCATGAACTGCACATCCGGCACCTCTGCTTTCCTAGAAGCATTTTATTCTTTGCAAATCTCCTCAACTCGGAGAACACTCCAAGCGCTCACCAGTACAAGGGACAGAGGTGTTAAATGTACTCTCTGGACACTTTTATTGCTCTCCATCATCACCACCATCGGGTGAACACTCAAAGGTTTCGCCTTTAAGGGAGAGGACTGTGTTCAAAGCATCTCTGGCATTTGGCAGGGAGGTTTCCCTTTCCTGTCAACACAGCACAAAGGAAAACTAACACCAGTACCCAAGCTGTCAGGGAGAGCAAGATAAAAGCTCAACCTTCTCACTACCACAAGAAAGCACTAATGTCAGACAGAATCGCCTAAAAACAGCACAAAAATCCTCTTTTTAACAGTAGAGGAGGAGATGGAACAGAAATCTGTATCAACCCATTGCCTTAAGCCCTGAGGTTCAGCAGTCCTCAGGTAGATGTCCTGTAACTACACAATGACTTCGGGTTCTAAACTCATCACCCATCCCAAATCCTTCACCCATCCCACAGCTTCCCCTGCTCCAAACAGCAAGCACAAACTGGCAAGAGCAGGAGCAGCTTCCCATGGCCTCAGCTTGGCTTCCCTTGGCCCACGACCAAACTCAGACCAGTGAGGGGCTGAACTAGAGCCTGGTTCAGTCGCCCGGGAGCCCAGGACACCTTCCCTCGAGCACGCAGGCAAGTCTGAGGCTGCGCTTGTCTGCAAGTTAATTATTAAGTGGTTTTACTCCTGCAGAATTCCTGCCCATCCAGCACCATGGCAACAGCTTTATCCCCCTGCTTGGCAGCAGCGTTGCTGCAGTAACAGTGTCCATGACTCATCTGGAGGAGAGGAGAGCCAAGCAGAGCCACCAAAGAGGAGTCAACCCTGGACACAAGCCCCACCAGGCTCCTGCTCATTGATGTTTTCACCCCAACTCTTTCTGTGCACTGAAAATATTTTAAACCTTAATATTTTAAACCTATTTGGGGTTTTAAGTCAACATGCCAGTGTCTAACTGGATGACATCTGGGAAGATCAGCTGCCAAAATACTGCAATCAAGTGGTTTTCCTCCTCTGGCAGTGCCCAGTCTCCTAGCAGGAAAAACAAAGAGATGTGTATATATATATATATATATATATATTCCTTTCTGTCTGTATTGCATTTGCTTGCTGCAATTCCTGTTCAAAAATCAAAGTAGCCACATGCTGGGTTTTCTCCCCCCCAATGCATTACAGAATCCCACAGCTACACTGGAAGGTGTGACTGGGAACAGGCTGCTTGCAATTGGTGGGTACTTCTGCTTTGCTGAGCACTGTCAAATTTGCTAATCTCATCCCAAACAGACTTATTTTTAAACTCCTGTAGGGCCCAGTTGCCCACACTTCCATGACGCATTTAAATGCATCATGTGCTTTCATTATCCTAATTCACCGTCACCACACTTTGGGATGTGGAGACAGCATCCATGCCTATTTTAGTTAGACAGCTCAAACCTCCACTGAGTGAAGGGGATCACGGCAAGGAAAGTAGGCTTGGTCTCTGAACGTTTCCTTGTTTCTTCCATTTCTCCTCCTGAAGCAGATTTCCCCATTAAGAACCAAATAATGACAGTATCTCCCTGAACAAGCCTTCAGTGCTCTCCTCATTCAGGCGTGATAGAGAGCACAGTGTGAACAATGAACGAAGGGATGGACATATCAGCCCGGTCTCAGGAAACCCAAGAGATTGGCTTTTGTCCTGAAGTACTCACACTGACTAGTGCAAAAACAGGTCACAAGAGAGGAGCTTTTCCTACTCCTTCCTAAAGCCAGGTGAATTCCCACATCCCCAAACTTCCTGGAAAACGTTTCCCAACTGAGTTGAACTTGTTTCCACAGTAAACTCCTGCAACTGGCCCAACCCTGGTATTAGCAGCTACTTCTCACATCACACATTCCTGCTGGTGCCTCTGCAGCTTCATTCCCATAATCCCTGTATCACGCCCCAAGATCTGCACCTACATTCCCTATCTGAAGACCTATCATGGTTTTGAAGAGTTTGGAAGCATAACTAGCATCGCCGTGGTGGTCTCAGGAAGCAGCAGAGGCGATTGTGAAAATTCCTTCACGAATTCTCCTATTCCCTTTGTACGAAAAAGTGATTCCAAAACAACCCCCAGACAGCAATCCATAGCAAGGCTTTCATTCAGAGATCTCTAGCTCTGCTATCAGAAACAATGGATGCTCATTCCCTGTTTACAATCCCAGAGAAGAGCCGGTTCTCCTCCAGGAAACCTTCCTCCCCTCCCCAAACCAGCCAAGATTGCAACAGAAACCGGCCAAACAGCCTTAGACAATGAGAGCATGCCCAGCCTATTCTCTTGCAAACAATGGTACACTGTGAACCCTGGTGTGTATTTCCAGCCAGTGTATTTTAGCAAGATGGTGTTACCAAAGAGCACAAAAGGTGAGGGATAATACGGTGCTAGATAACACAAGATGACAGCTAAGGAAGGCACTTTCTCCTCTTACCCTCTACCTGTTATTTCAGTTATCCACTGGATGAGATTAAGTGTTTGATCCTCATCAGAGAAAGCTAAAAGTCCATCCTCTATTTTCAGATTTCCATCACAACCACCCCACCAGACACATTTTATCACGAGTTCATGGGCAATAGGGTCAGCACTTTCCTGTCAAGATCCCTTCTCCTCTGCCACCAGGACAAAGCACATGTCCCCCCTCACAGACACTACAGATACTTCTGCAGTGCTCATCAGAGTGCGTAAACTCAGATTGGGTTCCTATTTTAAGGCTTTAATAGCCCACAGATACAAAAAGAGTGTACCTAGGGTAAGAACCTAATTTTTCCTAACCTAAGCCGGTTAGGAAAAATGGGTGCAAGTCATAAGGATGCTGTAGAAGAAACTAATGCAACAGCAGTGATTTGCAATAGGCATTTCTCTCCACCACAAGCAATAACAAGAATGTGTGGAATGAGAAGGCTCCTGCAGCTATCCAGGCCTCTTTCTTAACACGCATTAGCCAACAAGGTCAGGAGCTATTTTGAAGACAACTCCCAAGACATAAGCCAGGTATAAAGCAAAGACAAGTGCAGCTGAATCGCCAGGAGCTGGAGATTAGCAGATTATCAGATTGAAGAGTCTCAGAAGGAAGCGAGCAAAAATAGCACGAACCCCATGAAGATGCAGAGCGATGACGCAGGACAGAGTGCAAGACCCCGAGGGGAAGGCAGGGCACGTTTCAAGCAGTGCTGATATGTCTGCTTAGACAACCAGGGTTCAATCACAGAAATATCCAAACCATTTCCCCTGCCCTCTGTCTCAGCAGTTCAAGGCCCATAAAGGCAGAAGAACAAGCTAAGCCAGTCAGGATCCACTCCAGTCCTAAAGCCATTGGGTTTGCATAAGCGAAGACTGGGGGTAAGCAGGGAGGGAGGTACCTACAGCCCTCCTGCTTATCTCAGTAATGAGCCTGCTTTGAAAAGCTCAAGCTAGGAGGATCCCATGGGATATTTTCCCTACAGCACCACATTCACTGACCAACACTGGGGATGGAGCAGAGGGATGCAGCTCAGGCTCTGAGCTGGGGCATTTACCAAGGTCCCTATAGCCCATAAAATGCATCCAGCTGGCAGCACTCCATGCACCGAGTCCTGCTGCACAGCTCAACAGCTCTGCTTTTTGTGGCAGCCTGCTCTTTTTTTTTTCCCATCTTTTTTTAGCTAAAGCTTTCCAGATTTCACCCTCTCACCATTCATTTGATCACAGTCCTCCAGGCCTTGCTGAGGAAGGATGGAGCTGCTCTTCTCCCATTCCCAAGGCAACCAAACACCCTTTCCTGCCCCCTTGTTCATGCTGATTGCACTCGAAGTCTGAAACCATGTGCACATTAACAAAATCAGCTCCCCTTGCTCTTACAGAAGGCAATCAGGCCCCAGGCTGATTCCCCTGGTGTATGCCACAGCTTCTCTCTTATAGAGTCATGGAATGGTTTGGGTTGGAAGGGACCTTAAAGCTCATCCAGTCCCAACCCTTTGCCACAGGCAGGGACATCTTCCATTAGACCAGGTTGCTCCAAGCCCCATCCAACCTAGACTTTAACAGGGAACTTCCACTTGAACTCTTATCTTTGCTCTTTCCACCAGGAATGGCTCAAACCCACAGCACTGGCAGACGGAGGAACCCACTGCGCTACACACACACACCATGTGTGCAGCCCCTGGAGGTCTTCACAGCCCGTATTGTGCTGTGAGACTACTAAAGAAACAGCTCTTCATCTACACAACACTTCGAGCCGCGCGTTATCACAAAGCCTTGAAAGGGTTCCCAACATATGTGGTGTTGCTGGGGAAAGGAGTCGTGGTGAGAGCAGCTTGACACAGCTCTGGGGTATCGCTCCGTGACCAGAAATCAACACAGCAACATGCTTTAACTCACCACAGCCCCAGACAACTCAGAACAGTGATTCAGACCCTCATCACAAACACCCCCAGCTAATCACAGCTCCTAATACAATAAATATCCCTAATTAAGTGGGGGAAAAAAAGTGATGGTCCAGGAGGGGCTTCTTGCACATCCTCCTGTTAATGCTACTGGTAGGGAAGTCACCCATTAAGGCTCTACCCTGACTGACCCATCGAGGCAGCCCTCTGCCAAGCTGGCCTTTAGCTAAAGCTGCTAAGAGAAGACTCAGAGAAATCCTAAATGACAGCTCAGGGAAGAGATTAGTTTCAGAAATAATTAAGTGCCTCTTCCTTATTTTTAGGTTTTGTTTTGTAATTGTTTCCAGGTATGTAATCAATTATTTAACCCTTTGCTTTGCTAAAATAAGCTTTAGAATGAAGCTTAAAATGTAAGCCCTCACGTAGTATTACAGATGAAGTGTCCAGGTGCCTGAAGCTGTGATTTGCAGAGGCTTTCATAGATTCATAGAAGGGTTTGCATGGGACCTTAAAGTTCATCTAGTTCCAGCCTCTGCCATGGGCAGCAACACCTTCCACTAGAGCAGCTTGCTCCAAGCCCATCCAGCCTGGCCTTAAGCTCATCTCAGGTGGCTCCAGAAGGCAGCACATGGCATTCACAGGCATCGACATCCCAGTCACTGCAGGCAGACTCCTCCAATCCTCCAGCTGCTTCAGTAATTAACTGCAATTTGAACTGAGCTCTGCCCCTCTCCTTTATGATCTTAAATTAATCACATCCTAAGGTTTTTCCTCCTTTTGTAACCGCAGTTGTGTGAGCAAGCCACAAATCCTGCTAATTGCCAAGAAAAGGGCTCATTCGCCTCACACCTCATCCAGCTGGAGCAGGGCCAGGGCCAGCCCAGCCAAAAGGCACAGATATTCCAAGGTAGCATCCCAGATCCATGAGGCTGGACCCCGGAAACGTGACAACCCTGGAGCTGCTGGGGAACTGAGCATTGGAAGGATGCAGCATATGCAGGGTAGTTTGCACAGCTCCCCCTTTAAGCTTATTAGAACATTAAGAGCAGAACCCAGCTGGCTCTTGTGGCTGGTCACAGACCGGGTTCCTTCATGTTAGCACTAAACATGCTTACACCACAGAGCCACATCCTGCATCTCCACTCTCCCAGCCTCATTATTTGGTCATTTATCAGCTATTATTTACCTATTGGAAGGGGAAAGCCCAGCTGTGCTTCTTGGTGCAACAGCAAGGGCTTTCCCTAGCCCCAACATGCCAGAGCAGGGCTGATGTGCTGCCTGGTCAGCAGGCAGTGATGATAAGCAGCAGCTTGGCTCCAGAGAGACCCAGCTCTTCTAGGGCTGAAGGGGGAGCAGATTCACCCCCTATATCAGGAAGTATTGAGGAGCTCCACAGCAGGCAGAGCAAGGATAACACAGCAAACCCTGGCTCCAAAAGAGCATCTGCACCATCAGCACACCCCAGGCACATGCAGGGCTGCAAGGGCCAGCTTAGGTGTGAACACGGAGCCAGGCAGCCATGCTATGAAGTCCTTTCTGGACCTGGACCTATATGGAGTATCACACTCCATACAGTAGCCAGGATCCTGCCTCTCCCTACTCAAGCTGGAAGGCCATTCAGAAACACACAGGATACTCATGCTGTAAGCATCCCTGCAGTCCAAGCCCTGTTCTAGCATGGTTT